GTTACTGCACCATCCTATTGGAATAGCAAGAGCATCATTGCCTGTCTCTAAGGTTCATTCTTGAGGAGCATAGAAATAAAGGGGCAACCTTAAAATTGATCATCAGCTAATGTGTGAATTAGCTAGTCCAGAACATCTTATAATTTCGTCCAAACCACTTCCATATGTTGTATGAGTCCTGAAACAATCCACTTTTAAGGTATCTCGAGAGCATTCGACTCTGAGCAAACAGACTATCTGAGTAAATTCAACTCCTGTAGAACATTAGAAGTGCATATCATTTCAATGCCTTGAGATTATGAGCTAAGCATCTTAGTAGTGTGGCACAGTACCTCAAAAAGCCAATGGAACTGTCGAACCGCATCTGCAGTGCCCTGGAACCACCTCTTACCTGACTCTCCTGGAGTTTGGGTTGCTGCAAGAACCTGGCCAAAAGTCAGCCCTAGTAAGCCTCAGTTAACTACTCCAAATTGACTTCCACTTCCCAAGTTTCATTCATAAGAGACGTTATAAATCAACAGCACGCAACGAGCAACAGTGAGTTGTAGAAAAGTGATTACCTCAACGGAGCCATCTCCAAAGGTGACTCCACTGCCGAAATTGTAAGCGCGGGCAAGGTGCCTATTGAGCGATGCTGAATTGAACTGAGTGAGGATGTAGACTTTGTTGATTCCGCTATTAATGCAGTTGCTCATCGGCACATCAATCAGCCTATACGCACCCCCAATTGGAACCTACAAGTAGGAGCAAAAGAAACACCGCAAATTCGGTAAGAGTCATTCTATCAAACAGTTAATTGCAATCCCCATAAGATACTCATTTGTAGAATCATGAAACCGCCTGCGATACTTAGGTCGGGCAAAATTGCTAGGCAGAATCGCTTTTCAGCGAACATAACTCAAGAAACTCAACAAACATGTGGCAAGTCATTTATGAACCCAATGTAGGCCCCTTGTGTTTGTCACTGAAGTATAGGACAGATTCAAGAGAAGGTCGGAGATAAAGAAATGATGTCATAACACTTACGGCGGGCTTGGCACGGCGTTTGGTAAGAGGGAAAAGACGAGTACCGGCGCCGCCTCCCAATATAATTGCCACAACTGTCCTTGCATCCCTCCTTTCCATCTCCAAGTTCCTCAACTACATCATGTAACATCATTTAGAAGCTACATTTTTTGCTCAATGCAACTGCATCGCCAAGTAGAACTATGTTACTAATTTGCAATTTCACTCGGGCATTCAAAATCCATTTCCGGGTCGCATTTTGTTTGTGAGAATAGATTGCTTTATTCAAGCAGTGAACGAAGTTGCAAAGTGTTTTACATCCGGCCGATGCATAAATGTCCTGTATAAACATACCAAACCTTGTAACTAAAAACAGTAATATCAATCCAGCAATTTGCGTTTCAAACATGTACATCGTACACACAACATAGGATCTTCTAGTCGATATTCCGCAATCCTCCAAACATGGTATCCTGACGTCTTTTGGTTCGACGATTCTCTTTCTTCATGCTTAACTACTTCCTCAACCACAAAAGGGCAAAAAGGGTCGTAGACAAAACGTCTGCCATCTTAAGCTTTAAATGGTTGAAACCATGAAGAAAACTTCCATATGCTTGCAGCCCGGAGAGCCCTGTCCTGTTTGTACATAATGCAATAGCTACACTATCTTTAATTAATATGATCTCTCAACGGTTACTGAACAAATAAAAAGTACACAGAGTGCACTCATGCATGGTTAGATGGCTCTCGCATTTTCTTGAACTGCAAGTGGCTAGCGGCCATCAAGCTCTTACCTTTACCTTAGACTCGCCTGCGATATCAGCAGTGAGAGACATGCACACATGCCTCTTGACATCGCTCTTTCCATTGACCCCGCGACCCGTTTGGCTCATCTTCAGCTTCTTCCCCATCAACTCCCCGTTACAGAACTTCGCCATCTTCCAGCTCCGGCCCACCAATCCGGTCGTGCCGCGCAGCTGCCCGGTGGCCGAGAGCGACACCCGGCCATCCGCCGAGACCGCCATCTCCTACTCAAAAATGAAGTGGAGAAAAGATTGAAGTCTGGAGAAGTGCCAATGGCTTTTAGTGTTTTGTGTGTTCACGTAGACGATGAGCTATGGACACTGAACAGGGGGACATTGAAGGCACAGAGAGAGAGAGAGAGAGGGGGAGAGGGAGATTTGGTTAGAGGGATTTGCATGGAATTGGAAGATTGGGCCACGTTATCTTCAGTAAATGGCGTCCACCAGTTTCTTGTGTTCGCTTGTGGTCCTCTCTCGAAGAACTTGCATGGTACAAATTTGTAACTAGTGACTCCTGGCCATTCTCCTTTTGAATCAGAAACCACGTATAGGGGAATATGCCCTTTTTTTTATAAGTAAAAGAGTAGAGATGGTTGATGAGTGTTTAGGATTCCGTATGGACGATCCCACTATGGAATGCTCAAATCGAGTCATAATTACTCCACACCACCCTCAATCCGAAGATCCAAAATCGAAGAGCCCATCATTGCAGTGACACCAAGATGCTGCTCACTAAGAAGATTCACCACACGATATATCCCGTCACCGTGCGGTTAGCTAACAATAATGTATCACAACTCTTCGAAAACCCGATGGCTAGACATGATCATCGAGCAGGTGGCCCAACGGCTCGCCCAAGCGCAGTTAGACTCTGTTAGTTCGAAGGGCCATATAGGTGGGCTCGGACAATCAATTCCCTTCTTCGACACGGCCCATCTATCTTGGCTAACCAAGTCCCCTGGATTTAGGTGATCAATTATATTAGCTGAAACACATTATGCCTCTTAAATTTTTTAGAGTAGGGCAAGTTGCCCTATGACATTTAAGTCTTTGTAATTTACCTTCTGACTTTTTTGAATCAATTGCCATTTGCCCCTAGCTTTGACGCCATCTAAATTTGCTCGTTATCTGACTACATATATATATATATATATATATATATATATATATATCAACTAAAGAAAATATGTCAAAATTATGTTAGATATGTTGCTGGTTTTAACTTCTGTCATATGCTCACCAGAATTTTGGTCACATGCAATGTATGTGTACATATATGTGCTTGCGTGTGTGATCAGTTTGCCATATGATTCCAATCACATGTTTGAAGCTCCAACTAGAATTTGATTGGAATCACACCAAGGGGGCACATTGCAACCGCTTTTAAAAATTCAAACGACAGGGCATTTTGAAATAACCTTAAAAACTTGGGGGCCAAAGAGTAAATTACCCCATCTTTTAAAATAAAACTTTATCTTTTTAACAATGGAGGGTAACAATTTTTTTTAGGTAAGCTGATCTTAAAGAGGAAATCCGGATATGACACGGTACAACACTTTCAACATTATATGTCGACACAATTTGATATGAATTAACATGTTTTCATCGTAATTTAGTTGTTTGACACGTGGAATCACTAAAATCAAAATGTTTTAGACTAGCACGAACTGACACAAATTACACATACGATTTGTCAAACCCTGCGATGCTTTAGACAAAATCATCATCTAGACTCAAATCCGTGTTTAAGAAACTACAAATTTCACCATCTCTCACCATGACATTCCCTCAAGTAAAACCAAGCAATGACCCCACTCGATTCAAACTTTTTCTTTTATTGGGGGGTTTATACTTGGGTTGAACTTAAACATATGCTCACCTTGAAATTGAAACATTCGCAAAAAATTAAAAAAAAAATGATGGAGGATAGTTTCGGTTGAACTCATCGAAAGTACTCATGCCTTTCTCATCAAAATGGACAAGAATTTTCGATTTTAAAATAATTATGAAAAGATTTCACATGACTTGCTGTCGGGTTTTGAGCTTCGGTTTGCCCTAATGGACTCGACCCAAACCCGGCCCATTTTCACTTGAATTCCCCTTTTGGTGGGAACACTTACAAATGAGAAATAACTTCTCTTTTGTCAAAAAAAAAAAAAAAAGAGAGAACGAAACTAATGGTCCATACTTATGTAGTTCATATACTTTTAATTTGTTCAATATGGTTCACAAATTTTAGCCCAATGTGCAATGTGGTCCTTGAACTTTTATATTGTCCAATGTGATTTCTAAACTTTTGGTACATGTTCAATTTAATCCATTGATCATATTAAAATATTCAATGTTGTCCCTAAACCTGAGTTAATGGAAGGACAGTATTGAACATGTACCAAAAGGCCATGGACCACATTAAACAAATTGAAAGCTCACGGACCACATTGTACATCGGGCTAAAGTTTTGGACCATATTGAAAAAAATTAAAAGTTTAAGGATCACATCGTACATTGAGCAAAATTCAGAGACCATTTGTGCCATTATATGGTAAAAAAAAAACTCACCATGCACGTACGAGATTGCGCACGCAAGTGACAAAGTGAATCAGTCTAAGCGTGCAGTTACGTCATTTTTGAACGGCGCGGATACACAAGTATTACATGGGCCAATCCCGGTTCTCGAGGTCCGAGGTATACCATTCCACGGAAACCCGTCGCTTCGAATACCCGGGATTTGCTCAGACATTCGGGACTTCATTATTGAACAGAATAGTTGAAATCCCAAGCTCTAAAGAGTAGGTAGTTACATCTATAGCCAGCGTTCCTAGTAAGGGCCGGTGCCGCACGGCCCGATCCGTCGCCGGCCCGTCGCTGGGCCCTGCGCTTTCAACCAATTCTAAAATATTCGGGCCTGGGCCCAAACCTATCAAGGCCCATTTGGGAAGCGGGCCCTGGCCCACACGGTGGGAAGAAGAACCGGCGTCGCGGTCCTCGCGGAAGGCTTCGAGCCACCAACCGGTCGAGCCCCGGTCCGACCGTCACGGCAAGAACGGCCGCCCCGGTCCTGACCTCCACCGGAAAAAGTGGCTTATACCTCGTTAGGCTGTCGCCGTCGGCCGCTTTTCGGTTAGCCAGTCTCCTTCCTCGCGAACCACCTTCCTCTCTCTCTTCTCTTTCTTCTTCTCCTCCGCGGAGCACGTAAAGAAGCGCAGAGAGAGAGAGAGAGAGAGAGAGAGAGAGAGAGCTAGAGAGAGAAACAGGGCGAGCGAGCTCACCAGCATTCTCTCTCTCTTCAGGTCCGTCCCACCACCAGCAACAGCAGCAGCAGCAATGGCGTCGTCGCCGTCGTCGTCGCCGTCGTCTTCCTCCTCGGCGCTCCACCGTCTCCTCCCCGCGCTGCTGCTCGCCGCCCTCTCGATCCTCTCCTCGAGCCGCCTCGTCAAGTGCGACGGTAAGCTCGCCGCCCCTCTCCGCGCTCTCGCCGGCGTCCCTTCCGTCCGCAGCTTCGCGCTGCTTCCGCTGCTTTGTTTTGCTCGCTCGTTCGTTCGTTCGTTCGTTGTTTCCTTTACGCCGCATTTTGAACATCGCGAGCGCTTTCGCGGAGTTCCTGTCGGTGTCGTGGGCCTCTGGATTAGTAGCGAGATCTGAGCGTCCTTGATCTGAGCGACGCTGTTGAGCTCGGGGAGTTCTTTGTTCGTATCCGCAAGTGTCGGTTCGACTTCGGTTTCGGTAGCGATCTCGTGGTTATCGTTCGGTAAAAGCCGACGATCGGCGTTGCATTTCGGGAAAAGTGGAGGACTCTTGCGGTTCCTCGCGGTTGATTTTCGTCCTGGACCAATGTGGGTTGTGGGAGCGGCTGCTAGCGATGGTTTGTTTGTGCTTCGATCTATCGGGGTGCTGCTGAATCTTCTCTTCGTCTTAGGAAGATTTAGACTTGGATGGGAACTTGGATGGTAAAAAAAGTGATCTTTGACTATCCTGTGAACGTAGTCGGTGGATGTGTATATGTTTGAAGCAATTCGTAAATGTCCGATGCGATGAGTGGTTGACTATTACTGAAAGCAAGCGAATTGAGAGTTTGGATTTGTGTTATGCAGTCGCTTAATTCGTAGGAACAGATCTGACCTGAATTTTTCCAGGCTTGGGTGGCCATGGAAATCTACACGATTGTCATCGAATTTGTTGATAAACGACAGTCTTCCATATGTCACGATGTCGTTTCTCCATAAGTGTTTTTGGGTGCTTCTTTGCCACTTGTCCTTAGAGATCGTTTCTGAGGTGTCTTAAACTGATGACTAAGAGCATGGAGTAGATTCTTCACACACACACAGATGCCAAGTCTCAGCAGTCCATCGTTTTGCTTGACTTTAACTGAATCTCGCGTAGTTTGTAGGAACATGCCTTTCCAATTAGAAATGCCAAGTCACTGTCAGACTGTCACTCACATCATAGTGAAATGGAATCATCTCTCTTTAACTGGACAGAATCATCTGGAGACAAAAAATGGTAATTGCTGTCAGTGGACTAGATTTATCTCAGCCATCGTCATTGCACAATTTGTTTTATCATCAAACCTTCTGATGAACTGGTTTTGATTCTTTATCCATGTTGTCAATCTGTAACTTTGCAGTAAATAGGTTATTGAGCCATATGTTTACTTTTAGTTCCTATGATCCTTACACTAGAGCTGAATTTGTTCTTCATTAGGTAAGTCATTTGATTTTCTTGCCATCAGAGCAGTTCTATAATATCCAGGAGAGATAAATGCCTCAAACTATGTAATGCTGCTTTTTGCTACTCCTCTCAGTACACTATCTTGTAATGCATGACTTGATGTATCCTACTTCGCAAGATTTTGATTCCATTGGTAGTTCGATGCAGAGTGCCATGTGAGTTTGTAGCTGGTCACCTTCTGCTGCTTTTTGCTACTCCTCGATGCGGAGTGCCAGTCTAAAGTTTTGCCTTTAATTTCTGCATATGGACGGGCCATGTCTTTCATTGTCATGAAGGGCATGGTTAAGGCCTTCTATTGCAATGGGCTAATCCCACCCACCATGTTCTCTTATTTTCATTGTTTCTCATAACTTTGCTAGCCTATTTAGTTGAATGACTGACATGCTAAAATTAGAACGATTTTGTATTTCAGAGCTGGTATGCTGTTGAAAATCAGTGCCACATAATGCATTGAATAGTACATCTCCAAGGAACAACCCCCTTACTCCCTCTCCCATCTCTCATATGCGCACCTGCTCGTGCTCCCAAACTACCATCTAATTTATCTTGTCCTTGTCCTTGCAGGTGAGGACGATAATCTTCTTCAAGGCATTAACGGTTATCGGACATCTTTGAACTTAACAGCCCTTACGAAGAATGATAATGCGGAATGCCTTGCCAAGGAAATAGCTGATCAATTTAAGAATAAACCTTGTACTAATACAACAGGTGCTGACACTGTACCCGGGACTGAGCCTCAATTCTCCAACTTTCCAACACTTTTAGCCAACTGCCATCTGAACGTCTCTGTCACAAGGGATGGGGCAATAATGCCTGCTTGTGTTCCCAACTTGGTCCCAAGCCTTGTCCTCACTAACTTCACCCAGTCTCAGTATTCAGGTAACCTAAATGATAGCAAGTATACAGGAATTGGAATTAGTTCTGAAAATGATTGGATGGTAGTCATCTTAACCACGAATACACCCGAAGGAACCTACTTGACTGTCAAGTCAGCCGGTTTGATTCTGAAAAGCAGTTTCATTTATCAATTGCTCTTTCTACTCATCGGTTTTGTGCTCCTATTGTGAAACTGGTGATAACACGGCCTTATGGCAGTTTGACTGAGAGCAATCAAAGCATAACTACAGAGGATTCATTGCCTTGTTTTAATTTGAAGGAAAGGTGAAATTGCAGAATAATCGAGAGTACATTCTTTTTGTATTAGCTTGTGTTGTGGCTGGAAATATGTAACACGTGATTTGGTTTGAGGATTCTACTATGTTATATGTGTTCTTCGTTTTGCCTTAATTTCTTCCTTTACTTGAATCCTGCGATTCATTTGCAATTGAATTAGTGCAAAAGAGTTACAGGTTGCTTGGTTCTGTCCTTCCAAAAGCTTTCCTCATTACTCCATTTGTTGCTATTAGACCATAAACCTTTTCTTTTCTTTTCTTTTTTTCTTGTTGCTACATTGCATCTCGAGAGCTCATAGACTATTTTGTCTCCAACCCCATCAAAGGCGAGAGACTGAGAGTCGAACCTCGCACTTCTCATAAGAGCAGCTGGCCTCTAGTTCAAAGCCCTAGAGTAGTGATTAACCTTGAATTATCTGTTGCTCTTGCTCATTATTTCCTTGGTGAAGAGTCTAACTCGGGGGCTGTCGCACGATGCCATTGAGACAGGAACTGTATCATCCATGCTGTTGGTTGCTCGGGCATTCTTGGGTGTGGTTGAGTGAGGCTGGATGCCAATAGGTTTAGGACAGCCTATCTGCATATTGAAACTCATTCATTTATTCATTTTGTTGCTTTTGAATTCCGTTCTTTTATGTGGTCAATAAAAAAACTCAGAAGAAGAAAACAGGAGCTAACTACTTGGTCTCTGATAGTATGACTAAACTGCAATTGATGAATGATGGAACCGCGGGACGATATCGTGCGGTAACCGCCCGCGTGGCATATTTCAGCTGGCTATTTCTAGAACTTATGTGTAGCTATTAAAAATGCAATAGCTTCGCCGAACAAAGGTAATAGCCTTCATGGTAGGAAGCATTCTTCTTACTTTCAAAAGGTTCACACTCCTTTAGAAAAACCTTATGTTAAGGAACGGTCTGGGGCCTATGGGCGGGATTCTACCAAATCTGTGTGGCATCGATGAGATATTAGTTGTTTTTGGTTTACTCAGTGCAGTAGATCGAGCTTAAAGTCTATGGATCTGCAACATTCTTGTGCTATCACTGATCGTCGCCAAATTAATCATTCCAAAATATTTACACTTGCTTTACTTCACATGTCAATTGTGTACGTGATGCGGCAACCGCTAGAGTTTGAAAGCAGAAACTTCATCCCGGAGAGGCCAGTCTTAATCGCCGACAGCTTATCGAGTTGCAAAGGCAGCTGGGCATCGTGTCTCGGATACATGGCACGTTTGCCTTCAATGTGATGGTGATGGTGGACTTTCGACCCGAAACGGTCGCGCGTTTTTGTTGGGCGAAAGCATCCTGTTAAACACCATCCCTTGAATTGCAAAATGTTGATTGTTTTTATTGAATCCGGCCATCTCCTAGACAAACGAGTCACTTTGTGACAGTGTAGTAGATGGATGCTATGCTCTAACCTACGGCTATGGTCAAAGCTGTCAGCGTGCTTGAGGCTCCTAAGTTCAGACAAAAGGCCAGGCTTTGTGAAGAATGCTTTCTCAGACTCGCGGCTACCCGCAGGATGTCTCACCAGTTTTTCAACTCCTAGAGGCAAATCAAGAGGAGAAAAGAGAAAGGAGAAAAGGTATAAGGCCAAAGCCAAAGCCCATGTATTTTGACCAACGAGAAGAAGAAGCTACTGATCAAACCAGTCATCGCTCTTACCCTCTTGAGGATTTGATTGAAAGTTCTTTAGTAGCGGTTCACAGTTTAGCTCAATCTAGCAACCACTGCTAAAATCAACCATGTTGGAGGACAGTTCTCACCTCAAAATATGAACGGGGATTCTAATGGTCACTCGAGAGACCGATTCCCCGATTGCATCACGCGCTATCTTCTTCCCCAATTGTCCTACGGTACAAATACTTCAAAGGCTTTCTTGCTATCTTCTTCCCCAATTGTCCTACGGTACAAATACTTCAAAGGCTTTCAATGGAAGACGGAGATTTGTTCTCTAATAATCCAACGATCGCCAATCTCCAAGAATCGTATCCGTTGGGAATTTCAGAAGTGCCCTTAAAATACTAGACAGAAGAGTGATAATATTGCTGTTTCTATAGTTTGACTTTCTTTAGCATGTTCTCATCCTAGCGCATGGGCTTATAAAAACAATGTGTGATTTTTTTTGAAATAAATAATCCATTTTAAAATTTTGGCTTTTTTTATTTAGTTGAGTTTTCAAATAAATAAAAATATATATTGGCTTGGTTCTCAATATAACTGGATGTACTCTTCATCACTTTGTTATGTCTTAATCATACTTTTGATATTATCATATAAATACCTGCTCATATTTTACTTATTAGTTTTGTTCTGAAAAGAAGTTTGTGTAATTCTTTATTAATGCTCTGATGGTGCTTTCGAAAGACTACCCCCATAATTACACAATCAATAATTCAATTTTATTTTAGGATTCTATTAAGGGGTTTACCGGGAAAATTGTTAAGCGATCAAATTACTAAAAATTCTTCATTTTCAATGTAGTACTTTTCTCGTGTTATGAGTGAACAATATTTTGAAAATCGAATTATTATGATTGAGTAAGGTCAACAAGCAAATTCTTTTGAATTATTGAAAACAGTCAGCTCATCAATGTACTTCACTTATGAGAGAAATACAGATTTATTAATGACATGTACACAGATTAGTTCCTGTTCGACTAATGAAGAAGTCATCACACAGCTACAGCTAGATACCAGCAATTGCCTGTTTCAGTAGCTCTGGTCAGAATCGGTTGAAGTCTTCTGCTCGCGTTAGCACGCTGTTTATCATGAGGATATGCTCTCTAGTCCCAGTGAAGTACCTACTCTCCTTGATCGATCAAGAAGTCAAAGCTTATATCTTTCCCTATAAATAGCCACCTGCTCCAATCACCCAAAATCATCCCTCAAGGCCTGAACACTGATCCAATCCAAGAAAAGAGAGAAAAAATGCATCTGGTTCAAGCTTTAGTGCTCCTCGCACTTGCCCTTGCCTGCTGTCGTGTTTCAGCATTTCGGCCCTACAAATCCCTAGTTGCACCCATCACCAAAGACACCACCACTTCTCTCTACTCCACCACCTTCAACTTCCACGAGAACTATGTCGTCGATCTCGGCGCTCCGTTTTCTTGGTCCACTTGCCCGTATAAGCACCCTCTCGTGACTTGCAGGTCTGCGCCATGCGAGTCGGCGAGGTCCTACCTCTCCCCGCTTTGTCCTCCATCCAGCAGCTCCACCAACAACCTTTGCCAAAATTGCATCACGACTCCCGTCAACCCACTTACCAAAACTTGCGCTCTCTCTGACCTCACATACAAGAACATCGCCCTTTATGTAACAAATGGCGGACACCCGACTAGTTCTATAACTTTAAATGACATATACATGTCTTGTGCTCCTGGGTACCTTTTGAAGTCTCTTCCTTCGGGCGCTACCGGTTTGGCTTCCCTTTCGTGGGCTCCTCTCGCTCTTTCTACACAACTAGCCCCTCCTTATCTGGGAATAACCAAGAGAGTCGCAATGTGTCTTCCTAGCGTTCCTAATGTTAAGGGCACGCTTTTCTTTGGAAACGGCCCATATTTCTTTAGGAGCCCTGCCTTGGTTGATGTATCCAGATTTCTTTCCTACACCCCATTGATAAAGAACCCTAAATCATCTGACTACTACATCGGCCTCGACAGCATATCAATTGCTGGGAAGGCGGTCCGTATCCCGAGAAACGCATTTTCCATTGATTCTGTTGGCCGAGGCGGCACGGTGCTGAGCACTGTGATTCCTTACACTATCCTCAGGAGTGATATATATAACGTCTTCGTCGAGGACTTCAAGATAGCCACCAAGGGCATTCCTCAAGCGAAAAGGGTGAAGCCCTTCGAGTACTGTCTCAAGTCAAGCGCGATTGTGTCGACTCGGGTAGGTTTACAGGTTCCCCAGATTAGTCTGCAAGTGGCGAGTGGGAAGACCTGGACAATCTACGGAGCAAACTCGATGAAGCAAGTGAGCAAGGATGTGGCCTGCCTGGCCTTCGTGGACGGAGGAAAGGCAGCCAAGCATGCAGTGGCGATCGGGTCTTACCAAATGGAGGACAACTTCCTCGTGTTCGATCTGGCTCAATCAACATTCGGGTTCAGTTCCTCGCTGCTGGGCTACACCACTACTTGCGCCAACTTCGACTTCACAGTTAAACCTTGATGAGATCTGTTTAAGTTGGTGTGGCCCTCAAAGGAACAAGTACCTTTGTGTGCAATAATGCCGTGTGCTTGTGTGTTTGTTATTTCTGGTTGTGTGAAAGAATAAGAAATAATAATGTAGCCCCTAACCAAAAATAGTAAGTAGCTAACTTTGGTTTTTGGGCAAATTAGGCATCTTCTTGTCTATGTCTATGTAATGCACTGCTTTGAAGTTTAAAATTGTCCTTTTTATATTTTGAATGTCAACTGAAGCAATTGCCAAGCTCTTCCAATCAGATAATAGTACAGAATGCACATCTTGCTAATAATCCCGGTCGAGAGATAAAGTTGCTCTTGCACACATTTATACCATCCATCAATCTAAGCCTGGATTTTTTTGAAGAATTTCATAATACGAATGTGATCAACAATGGTAAAGATTTGTCACGTGTGCACATGCACTTAGGTAACTAATTATGATGCTATAAATAGATCCAAGATGTTCAAATGGCAGATCAATGGAAAAAACAACTTTATTAGCCGAGGATATAATAGAAACTGTTAGGATTCGCCGCACAATCACAAAGAAAATAGAAAGTAAAAGCGAGAAAAAGAATTTAAGACGCAAGGTTTTATCCTGGTTCACCCTTAAATTAGGATTACGTCTAGCTGAAGATTCTACTATAATTAGCACATTGCACATTTCATTACATCTCTCAATTACAAGAGAAATAGACTATATATAGGCAATAGTTTGATTCAAAATAGGAAACTCCTTTATAGGAAACCTACTCTAATTAGGAAATCCAATTAAGAAATCATTCAATTAGGAAACATATTCAAAATAGGAAACCTAATTGAATCAGGAAACTTTCATTTTTCGGGCTCAAACTATAAAAGCCCTCTAGCAACTTAGGACCGCTGCTCCCACGACTCTCACCCACTAACCAGGGAGTGAGACCCCCGTGCCTTCCTATCGATGGAGAGTATGAACCATACCCCAACATTCTCCCACTTGGTGAATACTCCAC